TGCTGTGAGCTAGGCTGACACCACAGCACTCTGGCCCGGGCGATAAAGTGAGACTTTGCCTCAAAACAAAACAAACAAACAAACAAAAAACCTACTTTTACTTAGTGTAAAAAGAAATGAAGAAAGAAAGAGTATGTTGTTTAATATTCACATTTGTGAGTTGTCTAGTTTTTCTTTTTTTTTTTATTAATTTTTTTTATATATTTATCAGTTGGCCAATTAATTTCTTTCTATTTATAGTAGAGACGGGGTCTTGCTCTTGCTCAGGCTGGTTTTGAACTCCTGACCTTGAGCAATCAGCCCGCCTCGGCCTCCCAAGAGCTAGGATTACAGGCGTGAGCCACAGCGCCCGGCCGATTGTCTAGTTTTTCTTGTGTTTCTTTGTGTGAGTTCCAGTTTTAGTCCATTATGGTTGGAGAAGATACTATATATGGTTTCAGTTTTTAAAATTTATTGACACTTGTTTTGTGGCCTAACATATAGTCTCTCTTGGAGAATGTTATATGCACACTTGAAAAGAATGTGTATTCTAGTGTTTTTGCATGAAGTGTTCTCTGTATGTCTATTAGGTATAGTTGATTTGTAGTGTTGTTCAAGTCCGCTGCTTCCTTATTGATCTTTCTGTTGGTTCTATCCATTATTGTAACTAGGTTATTGAAATCTTCAACTATCATTATAAAATTGTCTATTTCTCCCTTCAATTTTGTCGATTTTTGCTTCATATATTTTGGGTCTCTGTTAGGTACATGTATGTTTATAATTGTTATATCTTTTTGATGAATTGACCCATTTATCAATATAGGACATCCTTCTTTGTCTTTTATAATAATTATTTAAAGTCTTTCTTGTTTGGTAATTGTATAGCATCTCCCTTACCAACTCTCTTCTGGTTACTATTTGCATGGACTGACCTTTTATTTTCAACCTATTTGTGTCTTTGGATCTAAAGTAAATCTCTTGTAGACAGTATGTATTTGGATCATGTTTTTCTTCATCCATTCTGTCATTCTCTGGCTTTTAATTGAAGAAATTAATCCACTTGTATTTAGAATATAGTTGACCCTTGAACAATGCTGGGGTTACGGACTCTATCCCCTACACAATCAAAAACCTACATGTAATTTTTGACTGCCTCAGAACTTAAGTACTAATAGCCTATAATTGGCCAAAAGCCTTACCAATAACATAGTCAATTAACACATATTTTGTATATTATATGTATTATATTCTGTATTCTTACAAAGTAAGTTAGAGAAAAGAAAATGTTATTAAGAAAATCATAACAAGGAAGAGTAAGAGGAGGGGTTAGTCTTGCTATCTCAGGGGTGACAGAGGTGGAAGAAAATCCATATATAAGTGAACCCATGCAATCGAAAGTTGGTTGTTCAATGTTAACTGTAATTACTGATAGGGAATTTTGCTACTTATTTTCTTTTTGAGACAGGGTCTTATTCTATTGCCCAGGTTAGAGTGCAGTTAGCATCATCATAGCTCACTGCAATTTCAAACTCCTGGGCTCAAGTGAGCCTCTTGCCTCAGCCTCCCAAGTAACTAGGGACTACAGGTGTTCATCACCACACTGAACTAATTTTTCTATTTTTGTAGAGGCATGATCCTGCTGTGTTGCTCAGGCTGGTCTCAAACTCCTGACCTCAAGCAATCCTTCCACCTCAGCCTCGCCAATGCTAGGATTACAAGTATGAGACATTGCACCCAGCCTATTTCACTATTTTTTCCTATATGCCTTACATATTTTTTTGTTCCTCATTTACTCCATTACTGCTTTCTTTTGTGCTTAATTGATTTTTTTGAAGTGTATCATTTTGATTTTCTTCTCAATTTCTTTTCTGTATTTTTTAATTTTCTTAATAGCCTTGGGATTATAATTAATGTTTTAAATTATGACAATCTAGTTTGAATTAATATGAATTTAGCTTCAACAGTATATAAAAAGTTTGCTCTGTAGAGCTCTACATCTACCCCTTTATGTTGTTATTGTCATAATTTACATCTTTAAGCATTGTGTGCTCATTAACACAGGTTTATAATTATTGTTTTGTTTTATACATTTGTTTGGAGTTTTTATTTTTGTTTTTGTTTTTGTTTTTTTTTAAGACAGGGTCTTGCTCTGTTCCCCGGGCTAGAATGCAGTCACATCATCATAGCCCACTGCAGCCTCAAACTCCTGGGCTCAAGTGATCCTCTTGCCTCAGTTTTCTGAGTAGCTGGAAATACAGGCGTGCACCACAATGCCCAGCTAATTTTTGTATTTTTTGTAGAGATGGGGTCTTGCTATGTTGCTCAGGCTGGTCTCAAACTCCTGGCCTTAAGTGATTCTCCTGCCTTGGCCTCCTATAGTGCTAGGATTACAGGCATGAGCTACCACACCCAGCCTAAATTTCTACTTTTAATTGTTCACTGCTAGTATATAAAAATATAATTGATTTTTTGTATGTTACCTTAATAACCTTAGTTACCTTTTGTATGTTACCTTTCTGTATGTTACCTTGATAGCTTCCTGAGTTTGCTTATTAGTTCTAGTAATTTTTGTGTAGGTTCCTTAGGATTTCTTACATATACAGTTATGCTATACGCAAATAAAGACAGTTTACTTCTTTCATTCCCATAAATATGCCTTTTAGTACTTTTTCTTACCTTATTGCACTGGCTAGGACCTCTCCTACAATGTTGAGTAGAAATGGCGAGGTGTACGCATTTGCCTTGTTCCTGATCTTAAGGGAAAAACATTCAAACTTTCACCATTATGTATAGTCTTAGCTATTTAGATTTTGTATAGATGTTCATTCTCAGGTTGAGCATTTTCTATTCCTATTTTGTTGAGAAATTTTATCATGAATTGGTATTTGATTTTGTCAATACTATTTCTACCTGTACTAATTTGACCATAATGAATATAATTTAATAACATATATAGAATAGGAAAGAATAAAATCTAACAAAAAGTAGTATAATTACATTAACATAGTATTACATAATATAAAAACCAAATAAATTACTTCAAAAAATATAAAAATAAATAAAAAAATCAAAAATAAAACAAAAAATCATATATATATTATATATTATAATATTTTTTTTTAGATTGCACAAGACTAACTTCATATTTCATATTTATATATAAGAAAAATGAGAACAGAGAAAAAATACAAATACAGGCTCAATATAGCATCAAGAAGACTAGAGATCATATACAAGAAACACACACTGACCTCAAGCTCCTTACAATAAGCACTACAGAGCGATACCTCCCAAAAAGTGCTAAGGTAAAACAGGTAAGTGAAACAACCACGCACTGGATCCAACCACAGATTACATTCTTATTATTATTTTTTATTAATTTTATTGAAAACAGAGATCTCAACAAAATATTCATTGACTCAGGCTTGTAGAGTGAGACTAGCCGCTGGCGATCAAGAGAGCCTTGGCTCACAGCAACCTCAATCTCTTGGGGCTCAGCGGATCCTACTGCCTCAGCCTCCCTAGTAGCTGGGGACTACAGGCATTGCGCCACCATGCCCGGCTAATTTTTTTTGAGTATATATTTTTAGTTAGTCAATTAATTTCTTTCTTATATTTTGGTAGAGACGGGTCTTGCTCAGGCTGGTTTTGAACTCCTGACCTCGAGCAATCCGCCTGCCTCGGCCTCCCAGAGTGCTAGGATTACAGGCGTGAGCCACCTCGCCCAGCCCCCATGTGGCATTCTTGAGATAAATTTTCCTTGATCATGATTTGTTAACCTTTTATATATTGCTGGATCAAATTTGCTAAAATTGTGTCAATGAATTTTGCATCTATTTTCATGGGCCCTGTAGGTTTTTTCTTCTATTTTTTCTTATAAGTTCTTTATCCACATATGCCAAAATCTTATAGTTATGGAGGTCAAAAGTCCAAAATTAGGCTGGGCGCGGTGGCTCACGCCTGTAATCCTAGCACTCTTGGGAGGCTGAGGGGACGGTAATTACGGATAAGGCTTCAAGGTCGTGAGTTCGAAACCAGCGCTGGCGAGAGGCCCCGTCTCTACCAAAAATAGAAAGAAATTAATTGACCAACTAAAAATATATATACAAAAAATTGAGCGCGGGCATGGTGGCGCATGCCGTAGTCCCAGCTACTCGGGGAGCTGGGAGACGTAGGATCGCTGAGCCCAGGAGATTGAGGTTGCTTATGAGCCCAGGCTGACACCATGGCGCACTCACTCTAGCCGCTGGGCACGAAGGGTGAGACCTGCCTCTTCCAAAAGAAAAAAAAAAAAAAAAATAAGTCCAAAATTAATCTCAGTGGCCTAAAATGTTCTTTTAAACTGAGAGACTTATTTTCAGTTTATGATCCAAATACCTTAAGAGAGTGAGGAAAAAATCAGGGCCATCACTGCAGATTTGAGACTGCTAATATATATTTTAAGACTTTTTTTTTTTAAAAGACAGGGTCTCACTATATTGCCTAGGCTAGATTTGAACTCTTGACTCAAGCAATCCTCCTATCTCAGCCTCCTATACACCTGGCTAGTCCTTCTTAAAAGATAGATTTTACCTTCAAAGAAAAAATACCAGTGTAACTGAGTGTGAGGACTCCATTTTACCTGTATAGATTTTCCTACAAGCACTATGCTTGTTTTTAAGTATGAGGAGAATGTCTTACCCCAGCACCTTTCTTTCTTTTTTCTTTCATTATTTTTATTTTAGCGTATTATGGGGGTACAAGTGTTAAGATTGCATATATTGCCCATGCCCCCGTCCACCCTCGAGTAAGAGCTTCAAGTGTGTCCATCCTCCAAATGTTGCACATCTAACTCATTGTGGTTGTATATACCCATCCCCTCCTCCCCCCTCCCACCCTCCCGACACCCGATAAATGTTATTCCTATATGTCCACTTAGGTGTTGATCCGTTAATACCAGTTTGCTGATGAGTACATGTGGTGGTTGTTTTTCCATTCTTGAGATACTTCACTTAGTAGAATGGGTTCCAGCTCTATCCAGGAATATACAAGAGGGCCAGCACCTTTCAATGTTCTCCTTTTTTTCTTAGTATTATAGCTTATAATATCCCTCTGCCTTTACAGGCTATAAACTTATCTGATGGATGTCCAATGGTCTTTCTGAAACTATGATTTCTCTTCCTATGTTGCAGTTGAAAGTTGGTTTTTCAATGTTAACTGTAATTACTGATAGGGAAGGACTTCTTTTATTTAAGAAACTCTTTTATTTAATAAAATTTTAAATTCGTTTTCCTGGTTGTAATACATAGTTTAGATCCAGCAAAATCTCCTTTTATAAAATCTCATTATTATTGAACTATAGTAGTTGTACTTCATTATTGAAGAGAAATATTTATTTCTTTTATAGATAGAAACTGGTTGAGTAATTTATTAGCACACAGTTTTGCTGATGTTTTGAGTATATGAATGTGTCTTATAAGAATAGTCCTGGCCAGGCGCAGTGGCTCACACCTGTAATCCTAGCACTCTGGGAGGCCCAGGTGGGAGGATCACTTGAGCTCAAGAGTTCGAGCCCAAAATAAAGGAGTTTGAGACCAGCCTGAACAAGAGTGAGACCCGTCCCTACTAAAAATAGAAAAATTAGGCATGTGTCATGGTGTGCGCCTATAGTCCCAGCTATTCAAGAAGCTGAGGCAGAGGATTATTTGAGCTTTGCGCCCAGGAGTTTGAGGTTGCTGTGAGTTAGGCTGACACCACAGCACTCTACTCAGGGCAACAGAGTGAGACTCTGTCTCAAAAAAAAGTCCTTATACAATATATTTTGTTCCTTTTTTCCTGCTCTTCTAGAATAAAAATATTCAGCCTATAAAATGTCTAATCAAACATCAGCAAGAAGTGAAGATTTATTTTCCCATCAAGCTTACACCCAACTTTCTGGCATTTCCTCATCATCCTATGGGAATGTTATATCGTTATAAAGTACAGGTATGTTGTCCTATAAGACTTCACAAAGAGCTAAGTTAATTTATCTGATACTTTAATTACTGAAATTGTATTAATGTTAAATTTTATTTCACCCAATCCTAATAGTATAACTCAGTTTTTGGCAACAGCCAAATTATGTTCTTGAATACTGTCATCTATAGTAAAACTTGGTGTGCATTTGGTCTCTCTTCCATATATCTTTTCCTTGTGAGTTTTAAAAAGTTTTGTAAAGTTCCTTTATACCCTTTTTTGACATTTTGTGATACTACCATTAATTACATTAATTAACCTCCCTTTAGTATTTATCTTGCCTAGTAAGCTACTTTGCTATAGCATCACAGTTTCTTTTTTTTTTTTTTTTTTTTTTGAGACAGAGTCTCACTTTGTTGCCCCAGGCTAGAGTGAGTGCCGTGGAGTCAGCCTGGCTCACAGCAACCTCAATCTCCTGGGCTCAGCGATCCTACTGCCTCAGCCTCCCTCAGCTCCTGAGTAGCTGGACTACAGGCATGTGCCACCATGCCGCTAATTTTTTTTTTTATATATATTTTTAGTTGGTCAATTAATTTCTTTCTATTTTTGGTAGAGACGGGTCTCGCTCAGGCTGGTTTCGAACTCCTGACCTTGAGCAATCCGCCCGCCTCGGCCTCCAAAGTGCTAGGATTACAGGCGTGAGCCACCGCGCCGGGCTAGCACACAGTTCTTAATGTGTCCAAAAAAATTAATTATATGGTTCATTATTTTCCTAACTTATTTCAACAGCAAGTTTATATTCAATTTTCTCCTGTAGCATTAAATATAATATTGTTTTCACAGGTAGAGGGTGGTAGTGGCAACTTCACCTGACCTCTTCTTAATGAAACAGTGGTCATGGTAACCACCAAAGGAGTGGTGACTGCAGTTCAGGTCAGGGGGGAACAGTACTTTTGGCCCGAGATGTACAAATCCCTTTCGATATGGAGAAATTAAGGTAAATGACTTCAAAAGACCTTCTTCTTACCCTTAAATACTAATGTCTAAATGTAAGTACGTTAACACATTTTTAAAAGTTTCTAGTTCAACTTGGCTATTTAAAATTATGCTGATGCGCGCGTGGTGGCCGCCTGTAATCCTAGCTCTCTGGAGGCTGAGACGGGCGGATGGCTCAAGGTAGGAGTTCGAAACCAGCCTGAGCAAGAGTGAGACCTGTCTCTACTATAAATAGAAAGAAATTAATTGGTCACTAATATATATAGAAAAATAGCCGGGCATGTGGCACATGCCGGTATCCTACTACTTGGAGGCTGAGGCAGTAGGATTGCTTGAGCCAGGAGTTTAGGTTGTTGCGACTAGCTGACGCCACAGCACTCACTCTAGCCTGGGCAACAAAGTGAGACTCTGTCTCAAAAAAATAAAAAAATAAAAATAATGCTGAGCAGACGTGGTGGTGGCTCACGCCTGTAATCCTAGCACTCTGGGAGGCTGAGGCAGGCAGATCCTCAAGGTCAGGAGTGTGAGACAGCTAGCAAAAGTAGATCCGCTCTCTACTAAAAATAGAAAGAAATTAATTGGCAATAATATATAAAAAAAAATTAGCCAGGCATAGTGGTGCATGCCTGTATCCCAGCTACTCGGAGCTGAGGCAGCAAGATTGCTTCAGCCAGGAGTTTGAGGTCTGTGAGCTAGGCTGACGCCACGCACGTCTACCCAGGCAACAAAGTAAGATTCTGTCTCAAAAAAAGTAAAAAATAAAAAATATATATATATATTGCTGAAATTCAGTCCTGGAAGTACATATTCTTAAATATCTCTGTAACGGTTGAATTCTGCTTCCTTAATAGCTACTTATTTAAACATCTGTATTGTTTCTCATTCTATAAAAGGGATAATGTTTAGTATCTATCTCAAAGGTATTGATAGAATTATTAAAATTGTTAACTGAGAAATTTGGAAATAAAATGAATGTGTATTTTACATTTACTGATTTTTTTTTTCTTGAGACAGAGTTCTCCTTATTCTGCCAGCTAAGTGAGGCCGTGGCGTCAGTCTAGCTCACAGCAACTCAACTCTGCTCAAGCAACTCCTGCCTTCAGCCTCCCAAGTAGCTGGGACTACAGGCATTCGCCCAGCCGGCTAATTTTTGTATATATATATAGTTGGCCAATTATTTCTTCTATTATAGTAAAGACGGGTCTCACTCTTGCTCAGGCTGGTTTCGAACTCCTGACTCGAGCAACCACCCGCCTCGGCTCCCAGAGAGCTATGATTACAGGCTGAGCCACGCGCCGGCCTAATTTACTGATTTAAAAACATATGTAGCCGGTACAGTGCTCACGCTTGTAATCCTAGCACTCTGGGAGCCGAGTGAGCAGATTGCTTGAGGTCAGGAGTTCAAACGCCTGAGCAGAGTGAACCCCGTCTCTACTATAAATAGGAAAAATTATTGGCAACTATAATATATATACAATTAATATTAGCCTGGCATAGCACATGCCTGTAGTCCCAGCTACTCGGGAGGCTGAGGCACCAAGATTGCTTGAGCCCAGGAGTTTGAGATTGCTGTGAGCTAGGCTAATGTCACAGCACTCTAGCCCGGGCAACAGAGTGAGACTCTGTCTCAAAAAAAATAAAATAAAATAAAACTGTATTAGGTTTCATAGCACATTTAGAGACGCATAATGTACCATCCCTACCATAAAGAATTTAAAGTCTACCTAGGAAGATATAGTCACATGAAAAGTTAAATAACATTTTAAGGAAATGATATCTGAGGTATTTTAAAGCAATGTATGGACCAGGTGCAGTGGCTCACTCCTATAATCTGAGCACTTTGTGAGGCTGAGGAGGGAGGAGCACTTGAGGTCAAAAGTTCGAGACCAGCCCAAGCAAGCTTGAGATTCCATCTCTGCAAAAATTAGAAAAAATAGCTAGGCATGATAGCACATGCTCATACTCCCAGCTACTCAGGAGACTGAGGCAGGAGAATCCCTTGAGTCCCGGAGTTTGAGGTTGCAGTGAGCTCTGATTATGCCACTGCACTCTAGCCAGGGCAACAGAATGAGACTCTGTCTCAAAAAAAAGAAAGCAATGTGTGATTGAGAACTACTTGAATTGTACAGTAAGTACTATTAGTTTATAAAAGAAAAATCCTTGTGGATGGGACTAGTTGAAGACTATCATGAAAGAGATGGGAACTTGAATAAGACTTTGGAGAAAGGAAGCAAACTAAGACTGACGGGTAAAATCTAGACTGCTGCCTTTTTTGGTTAATAAAGCTTTCTCAAAACTCAGCCACTTTCTAGATCTACCATTTGATCCAGCAATTCCACTACTGGGCATCTACCCAAAAGATCAAATGACACTCTACAAAAATGGCACCTGCACTTGAATGTTTATAGCAGCAAAATTCACAATTGTAAAGTTGTGGAAACACAACCCAAGTGTCCATCAATACATGAATGGATTAATAAAATGTGGTATATGTATACCATGGAGTACTCTTCAGCTTTAAGAAACAATGGGATATAGCACCTCTTGTATTTCCTGGATAGAGCTGGAACCCATTCTACTAAGTGAAGTATCTCAAGAATGGAAAAACAAGCACCACATGTACTCACCAGCAAATTGGTATTAACGGGTCAACACCTAAGTGGACATATAGGAATAACATTTATCAGGTGTCAGGCAGGTGGGAGAGGGGAGGAGAGGAGAGGGGAGGAGGAATGGGTATATACAAACATAATGATTGAGATGTGCAACGTTGGGGATGGTCACTCTTGAAGCTCTGACTCAGGGAAAAGGGCATGGGCAATGTAATATAACCTAACATTGTACCCCATAATATGCTGAAATAAAAAAATAAATTAAATAAAAAAAAACCTCAGCTACTTTCATTCATTTACATATATCTATGGCTGCTTTCATTCAAAATACAGAGTTGGGTAGTTACCACAGAGAACTTGTAGCCTACACAAGATTAGAATATTACTATCTGGCCCTTACAGAAGCAAGCCAACCCCTGCTGTAGGCAATGGGAACAACACAGGTTTGTTTTGTTTTGTTTTTTCCAGCACAGTTTTTAAACAATCAATAATATGACAAAGCCTCTGTTTTGAAAGATATCTAATTATTTTTATGATCAGACAATAAACTATAGTATTTTAAACAAAGATAGTTGTTGGCTATAGACGTAGTACACTAGCATGGCATTGGAGGGAGAAACTGAAGGCAAAGACTCCAACAAGCCTCAACTAGTGAAATGGTAATGAGAATAAAAGAAGGGACAAATGGAGAATTTTTACAGGTAGACTTAATCGGATTTGATGCCTAGTGAAAATTGAAAGATTTAAAGCCACAGAGATGATGTGGAGGTTTCTAGCTTTGGCAATAGGGTGGATAGAAAATACAACAAAAGGGAAAGATGATGAATTTAGTTTGGGGTACATAGGTGGATCCACCAATGGAACGTTCAAATGGATGTTGTAGTGGAAATAGGAATCTGAAGTTCAACTGAAAGATCAGACTGGCAATTTATCATATGGTTGGTCACTGAAGCTTTGGACTGGATAAGAGTCGCGTAGGAGATTCTTTTGTTGGGTGGTTTTGTAGGTCTTTGTGTTTGGTGAGTGTGGAGTTGTGTGATTTGAACTTCATTATATACATTTCTTCTAGGAAGAATAGTAGGTTCTCTGTTTTTATGTTTGATGTTTCT